AAATGGGGAGGGAAAAAAAAAAAAAAAAAGGACCGAGCGAGAAAAAAAAAAAAAGTAAAAATGAAGGGGAAAAAAAAAAATTCCCCGCAGCAGCCCTGGGAGCTGCAGCTCTCGGGGACCGGCCACACACGCTCGCCGGTACACGCGGACGCGGTGAGCGCCGCGGAGCCCCGGGCTGGCGCGGTGCCGCTGCGCACTGGCGGAGACCCTCCTTCCCGCGCCCCGCGGATTTTTGCGCGCCGGCCCGCGCTAGCCCCGCGGCCCCGCGCCTGCCCGCCCGCCCACACACCCACCCGCGTCCTTACGCGCCCGGTCACCCTCGCACACGCGCCGCGGGCACACGCACGACGTGCATGCCTACACCAATGTGTATATAGATATATATATGTATATGCTCCCCCGGAGCTCTCCCCACCTACGCGCGCACCCCGCGCTCCTCCACGCGTGTTTCTCCCCCACTCTTAATTCTTTTTCTTTTTTTTTCTATTTTTTCCCCCCCGTCGTTGGTCTGTTTTGCTCCGCCGGCTGCCGTCGGGCTTTCCCCCCACCCCTCCTCCGCTCCCCTTCCCTACCGGCTCCAGGCCGGGGTACCGGCCGGTTTCCCGCCCCGCTCCCCTTCCCTACCGGCTCCAGGCCGGTGTACCGGCCGGTTTCCCGCCCTCCCCGGTCAGGGGGGGCTCTGCCTCACCCCGGGCTCCCCTCCGCGCCCGCGGGGACGGAGGGGACAGCGGGGTGCGAGCGTGGGGGCGCGGGGTGGGATGCCCCCGCACCGGCAGCAGCAGCAGCACCCTGCCTGCCCGGCCAAACGCTGCTGAAGTGAAGAGATTGCATTCCTCCGGTTGACAAGGTTTTGACGAGTTCTCCAAAGCTTTTTTTTTTTTTTTTAATTATTTAATTAATCGAGCCACCGAGGGCTTTCCTCTCTCCGTCTGCAAAGCAAGCGCTCGCCGCCTCTGCTGTTTATAAACAGGGGCGCGTTTCTTTGTGCGGGGTCTTTTTTAGCTCGCTCGTTTCAGGTAATCTCTACAGACCTTACCGGGGTGTGGTACGGAAAGCGGGTCCTTGGTTTATTTATTTATTTACTTATTTATTTACTTAAGACGGAGAGGGCATACTTTTGTTCCTAATCTGCTTCAGAGCGGAGTCCGTGGTATGTCAGGTGTGTCAAAAGGGAAAAAAAAAAAGAAAAAGAAAAAAGGAAAATTACACTAAAATGAGCGTTCCTTAAACTGTTCGGCCGGTTGTACTGTGAAGATTTGCTTTGCGTTGCTGTTGCCTTGCTATTGTCTCAATATCTGAAATAGTATTTGGGCTCTAATGAGAATAACACTTTAACGGGAGCTCAAAGGGAGCAGAGACTGGGGGCTTGGTCACTTCTTTTTTAATTTTTCCTTTTAATTTGCTGTCGTATTTTAAGAAAGATTTTCCTTTCGTACTCGAAACACGAGGAGATTCGTATACATATTTGCACAGTAGTATTTACTAGTGCCTCAGATGTTCGAAATCCAACCCCCTGCTTTTTATTCATTCAACCTATACCTCTGAAACTTCATTAGCGTTAAGAATAGATCAGTTGAAAGGAACAAGCTGACATCTATTTTAAGGCGTGGAATTTGTACGGGAAAGACGTGTGTGTGTTTGTGAGATGAATTACCCACCCCGATCTTGTGACACTACAAATACGTCAAAAGACCCTTTTGGCTTCACTGATCTCAAACCCCCTTTCCTCGCTTTTTACTGTGATCGATTACTTTGGGGATGGTGCCTTTGGAGCGTGTTAAAAGGCGCATCATTCGCTTGGCGGTATTTTAGCAGGTATGGCTTTCCCCTGAAACACCAATCCCTTGGTTAATAAGAGAAACAAAAATATGTATTTTAAATGAGATGCAAGTAATGTGGAGGAGGTAATTTATATAGCCTAATATCTGCTCCTTTTCATATTCAAACATAACGGGTCTCCTTTTGGTAATAAATGTCAGTCCTTTAATGGTGAATACATTATCCCGTTTAGCCTGTTGTATTTCATCGTCTGGAATCTTTCACCTGCTCCTGCCTAATTACACATTTTTCCCTTTCCTCCCACCACGGCAGAATTAATAAATGTGCAAGCACTGGACTAGATGTCAATTCCAACACTTTATATTTTCAAAAACTGTTTCTTGTTTTGCTGAAAAAAAAAAAAAAAAAAAGAAAAGAAAAAAAAGAAAGAAAGAAAAAGGGCATTTTAGCACGTTTCCATGCAGCCCAGGTCATCCGGTTTTCCCACGGTATTACCTGCCGTTAAAAACAATTTCCATGGGCTTCCCGCTCGCTCCCATGAGCGGCCGTAACGTGCCTCTCCGGGAGCCGGAGCTTTTACTGGCTTTTTGGTGTTATCTGGACAATGTTTACGGTAGCGAAGCTGTTTCTCAGGCAGAGGCTGGAGTAACACCGAGAAGTT